TTTTTTCATTTGTTTTGTTAAATTTAATTATCCGGAAATAACTGGTTTTGAGCGACTCTTGTGGCCTTTTTTTTCGATCTTTTTGGGAAAATATATTTAAAATATTACGAGTTTATCATATACATTACATATATAATATGGGATTATGATTTTGAGTATGGAAATTTGAATCTCACCAACAATTATTAAGGTCTTTTGTTGAGTTATGCCAGTCATAATGTTGGAATAACATGGATTAATACATATAGTGAACCATAGAAACAGTTTGAATATAGTAATTTAATTTTTTTTTTATTTCGTTACTTTCAATTATTGTTATTTTGATCTGGTACTTTTTTAAACGTTCATTTTAGTTCATTTATTTGTAACTTTTGTTCATTTTAATCTACGTAATTTCAAAACGTCTATTTTAGTCTATGTAGTTTTTTAAGTGACCAATTTAATGTTTATTTTAAATTGTAATGAAAATTCTTTAACACGACTGTACAACTAAATTTCAAGAAATTTAGTGAGAGAAATGTCATAGGCAGAAAATGTGTATGTATTTTATCGTTTTATTTCATGTAAATTTTTAAAATTATTATTTGAAATATTTCATTATTGCAAATAAAATAACTATAATTATTTTCATAGACCGTAGATTAGTCTATCTCTTGTTAAGATTGTAATTTATTTAATTATGATGGAATAAAATTGAACATGCTGAAATGATTGTTTTTTTTTAAATATAGATACTAAAATGAAAAAAACTTGAAAGTACTTCGAAAAACGTGAACCACTTGAAAAAAAACAAAAATAGTATTTAAACTTCTTTTTATTATACATTATAATTGCAAGGATGAAGATTTCATCTTCAATTGTTTAAGAAGGTTACTAATCTTAAATAGATTATATATATTAATCCTACGGATGAATGATAAATTTTTATCTCAGTCTAGTTTAAAGTGGACCATACTTTTTCAAAGCCACCGTAACGATATTGCTAGTAAAAAGAGATTAAAACACTAATAAAAATAGGTTATTTCAAAAAATTAATATTGTAAAATTAAAAATTGAAATCACAATGGAGAATACAAATATCTAATCAATAGAGTTACATTGGTATTAACAATGAAGGTATAGAACTTACTTGATAACCGAAGCAATTTGATACTCGACGTTCATTAAATTTCACACTTCTTCCGCATGATTTCGTACCTGCATGCAATAAGATATTTGATTATGCCTTGAAATCGAAATCAAAATTTGAAAAATAAAAATAGAAACCATCATGAACCGCATTTACCTCATTAATTTTTAGTTCCTTGGTTGGTATTTAGTATTCCAAATTTAATTTTAAACTTAGTATTTCGAATAAAAATAATAATAAACAATATCGATTTTTCAATTGGATCAATTTCATTGGTTTGGTCGTACACCCTACCAGATTTTTAATTTTTTTGTGTTTATTAAATATATATTTGAGAGGGTAAATTTGTAAAGTTTTTAAGACAAAATCTTGAACATGAATTTATTTATATAATTTGAATTCTAATATTGTTACTTATCCAATAAAAACTGAGGCCGAAAAGAAAGGTTGACAGCCCAGAGGAAAAACGGATTTTGGGCCGAAACGGAAGCCCATTAATAAGAGGCGAGGGTCCACTGTAAGCACAACAAAGCGTGCGCGCCGGATAAATCCCAGCTTCCCCACCAAGCTTCTCGAGAGAAATTCACAATTTCATTTTTCCGCCATGCAACTCAGCCACAGACCTGCTAGGTTTCTCGTCAGCGGCTCTACACATTCTCCTCCAAATCTCAGTCCTCTTCCATCAAAGAGAAATCTAAAGAAGGTAATTCTTCCATTTTCCAATCATCCACCGCCACATTATGTACTTGAAGTTCGTCGCATTTCGTATATTCTCCGTGTCCTTTCATCTCCCCGATTACTGTTCAATTGAGCCAATGCTGAAACAAATACTTCGACAATGTGTTGCCAATCTGAATTGTTAACTTTATTCTTTCGTCTCTTCTGTTTGTATCAGTTTGAATTGTTTGATTCTGATTGTTCGAGTTCATCTAATAGAAACCAAGCCGAAATTAGCAGAATATTGAGCTCTCTCCTGCAACATTTACTTGTCGCTGTAGTTATTCTTTTGGTTTTGTATGATTGCTATCTTTGGAACAGATCTTGTGTCCTTACTTTAGCTGTTTAAGAAGTCTTTAGTTAACTTTGAACAGGATTCAATTAGGGGAACAAAATTTGCCGAAGAGGTAACTTAACTTACTGCCTCTTTGTTACCAATAGTTGGAAATTGGAATAAAAGCAGGATTTGATCTATAAGATTACAGGCTCTGTGTATGGAGTTTCTAGAGATTCATCAGTTCTATAAGAAACTTTTACATTGGTCGAGATAGTTAAAATTTTACGAGCCAATTTTAAAATAAAAGTAATATTTGTTTGAGAATTTACACTAGGTGTCTATATTTGTTACCCAATTTTAAAAAATGATCAAATGATTTTTAACAATGAAAAATGTCAATTTCTATTTTTTTTTTTATTTTGACCATTTTAACCTGTCTATATGGTTATTATTTTTAAAAGTAAAATATCTCAACTTATCTTCCGAGATTCTATCTCTCATTGATTCTAATTTTTTTTTCCATCGACAATCTTGTTATAAACTTACTTGATATATATATGTAGAGACAAAATTCACTAAGTAGACAAGCACGTTGAGGGAGACGAGAAGACGATAGCTAGCGATCAAAGTTAGGAAGAAAGGGAGGAGACGGAAAGTATTGCAAGGGAGACAAAAATCAAGTGGGGCAAAGCAACGAGTGGTTGTAACTTGCAAGTGGGGCGACAGGCGGCAGAGTGACAGAGATAGAAGAGAGAACTTTTTGGTTCTGAGGTAGAGTGTTTAAATGTTCACAAAAATACTTTATTGTTCACCGTATTTGTTCCTTTGTGTTCACCATATTTATTCTTTTTCACCATATTTATTCTTTTGTGTTCACCGTATTTGTTTTTTCACCATATTGTTCACGTGTTCACTGTGTTAATCTATTTGTTTCCATCTTAAGATGTTTTAGTATCATTTTGATAATGATTTTATTGTTTAAATTTTGTATTTTAGTATAATTTTCAATTATGATTTTCTTATTTAAATTTTAATTTAATTAATATTTTTTCCTTAGATTCTTTAGTATAATTCCCCGAAAAATTTGTTGAGACAATATTTGATTTTTCTTTTTTTTTTAGGACATGGGCGAATTAGGCCAACAATGAACCCAAATGTAGAGTGTGAAAAGCAAAATATGAAAATAGAAATGAAGAGAATTTGAAGTCAAAGAAAAGAAATGTGAAAAACAACACTTAGCCGTTTCGCCTGTTTTGTTGAACCAACTACAACTCCCCAGCCTGTCCTGTCCCGCCACCGCCTTTCGCCTTTCCCCGTTTCCTTCTTCAACTCAAAACTTCTTTCTTCCTTTCTAACTACGTTATTTACAATATGTGAGGCTATTTAGTTTTTATATACTTCAACAATTTTCTAATAGATTAGTTTATTTAGTCTTTATATTTTAAAATATTTGTCATAAATTTTTTATTTATTTCTTTAATAAACTTTAAGAATTCTCAATATTTTATTTCTTCATTTTAGTATGATTTGAACTTTTGACTTTTTAATCAGATATAAGTGTCAATTACACTTGAGGTAAGCTCAGGTTGAGAATGATCTTTATTAAATATAAATCTGAAAATTTAGAAATGCATTCAAAGCAACTTGAAAATGTCGGAATTTATTAGTTAAATCTATTTCATGTAATTTTAACATTTTTTTTCCTCCACGTGGCTAGCTTCCCCACGCCACTTGTCACCGCGTAATTGGATTCAAAATTCCAGTGGGGTCCACGCGGCTTCAGGCCCACTCTATAAATAAGCTCCGCAAGAGACGCCCTAATTTCACCGTTTCAGTATCAGACATCACAGATTCTTCTATAAAGCTTCCTCTCTCTCGCTCTCCATTTCTTCAATCCATCTTCAATGGCGATCTCCGGCCCTTCCAAGATGTTCGCCGTGCTATTCCTCGCCGTCGCTGCGATCCTCTTCGCCGTCGCCTCCGCACAGGAATCACCGGCGCCGGCTCCGGCTCCGCAGCTCGACAGAGGAGCGGCGGCTCTGCCTGCCGCCGCCTCCATGGCTCTGCTCTGCGCTTCCTTCTTCCTCTCTCTCCCTGCCATTTTGAAGCCCTAAATCGCCGTCCATCGTTTCGCTCTCGAATGATTCTCTACACACAGAGATATATATATACTCGTGGAATTTCTCACGTTTTTATTTAGATATTGATCTTTAATTTATTTGATAGAAAAATAAAAGGAGATGCTATAATCTCTATCTTTAGGTTTATTTGTTCATGATTAGTCTGTAACTTTTTGTGAAAAGTATTTGTTGTATGATTTATCATCATTATCATTATTATTATTAGTGTGATTTTATGAATATTTCCTCCTCTTTTTTTTTCTGTATGAAAAATACCTCCCTTACCACTCGCCAGCACAAAAAAACTTTCAAGTTCTTTTTAGAGTGTAAAAAATAAATAGTTTCATATAATATTTTTTCGCCCCTCCTAATATTTCACTTAAAAAGAAAAAATGGTCGGTTCTTGGTGGGAGATAGGAGAGGAATAGAAGAAGGATGGGAAGCCACCGGTCAAAGGACCGTTTAGAACTAAAACTTTAAGAATAAAATATGTTTATTTTGAAATTTACAGACTAAATAGAGACCAAAAGTGTATTTTTTATATCATTGTATATTACAAATTAATTTAGGTTATAAAAACGGATATTTAGCCTAAAAAATATAAATAACACACACAAATAATATCAGATATATTATTAGTATATGGGATTTTTATTTTATTTGGACATGGGTTGTACCTTCAATTTTGCTATTTTCGCACAAATTAAAAAGTAGTAAACACCGAAAAATATATATCTTTCAACGTTTTTATATCGTATCTCTTATAACTTTATTATACTTATTTTATAACAGCTGTGTTATGTCTCCTATTTTCTTTCAATAATAGTGAAATATTAAGTTAATCTTGTTTATATAATTTACTAATGCTCTTTCTTTAAGATATTATAAAAATACAAGAAGAAAATTGAAAATTGAAAATTTGCACTAGCTGATTGGACTCATTTTGTTAATTAATTATTAATCTTAGAGAAAATCGTGTCTTTTTCGTTATGTGTCAAATTTCCATAGGAAGAGCAAATGACTGGTTTATTTTATATTATTAAAATTAAGAACTCAATTAAAAAAAAATAAGAAAAAAGACAACTCAATGGGGGGTACGTTGCTGATTTTTAAAGGTTTTGAATTTTATTTTAGTCCTTAAGAGTCGGTTTGGTCTGTTTCTTATTTTATTTTCTTTTTTTAATAAAGAAAAATAGCATTGCATGAGCCATAATACCACAAATTTAAGAATGACAAAAGAATGTTTTTATTTATATTTTGAAATAAATTGAAAATGGAAACAAGAAACAAGAAAATTTTAATCCAACGTTTTTCTAGTTTTTGTTTTTGTTTCCTCTTTTTTAATTTTAAAAAAAATAGAACTTCTATTACATGAAGATTCCTGGTCTCTCTTTTACTTTTATTGAAAAAATGAACAAAAGAATAATTTGCTAACAATTTCTTATTTTTTATTCTCTAAAATTTTAGAATAGAAAAAAAAGGATATTTATATGGATTTTATTTCTTCAAATTAAATATTCAGATTTTTATGTTGTATTTATTTATTCGTTTTATTATGCATTTTAAAATAAAATACATATATATATATATATATATATATATATATTTATGTTTTTATACGATTACTAACATTAACAAGAAACTTGATTTTATTGTTTTTAAAATTTATACATTATTTAAAAATGTTTCTTATAAGTGAGAAAATAATTATAAATAGTTACCAAACGGTTTTGTTTTTTACAAAAATAAAAAACAAGAAATGAGAATTTTACTTAATTATTTATTTTTAGTCTTTGCATATTTAATACACATTTCGGAGAAAACAAATTTTTTCAAATTTTAGATGTTGATAGAAGTCATTGCCATTTTCTTTGATTGAGTTCAAAAAAGCAATTGTCATTAAAACATCAATAAAGATCTTAGGCTACTTCTTCTCTAACCTATTACAAGAAGAATATGATGACTCGATAACCACCAAAATGGCATTGAATCATTTCGTCGAACTAATAAAATTTTTAAATCTCTATATTTAATTTTCTGAAAACAATGGGATTGACACCAAGCTCCAATAGTTTAATTGTCCACTTGACTTTTAAGTTCCTTCCATATTCAAAATAAGATGGATAAAGAACCTTGTCATCGTTTCTAAGATTAATGATCTGATCCCTGCTTCACAATAGTTGAACTAAACAAATAGACGATAAGATGAGGTTTTTAGTTGATGCATTTGTGATAATTTGAAATCAAATTGGATTAGATTTTTATGTAAAAAGTACGGGATTATACCAAATACCAAAATATTAAAATTTTTAAAAAGTGAGTGAAAAATCTTGGGGGCTTGAACTTAATTCAAATAATTAGACTTTACAAGTATTGATTAATTTGGGATATAATATGAATGTAATTTTTCCTAGTTTTATAATACATTTAATTAGATCATACTATTTTTATAAAATTTCAAACACTAAAATATTTAAAATACATATTTATTTGAGGACTTTAAAGTCTTAATAAGTTCAATTTTTAAAACAAAATAGCTATCAGAGCTTAAAAACACTTTTTTTATACATAAAATAGTTATACTATGGTAAACAAATCACTACCAAAAAGATAAGAGCAGCCAACTATAATTATAATAATTCAAAAAGAAAAAGAGTTCTCTGACTGTGAAAACTGATCTGAGTACAATATTTGATCCAAACTCTAACGGTTACTTTTCTCTTGTTTCCCTCATCAACCCTAACAAGAAAATCCCACTTTTTTTTTCTTTTATCTTTCCTTTTTAAAATACAAACAAAATACATTCGATATTTTCCAATGTTTCAAAGTACAGCACCGTAGCTTCCACACATTTTATTAAGCTGTGTTACTAGGTGTGACCTTTTATTTTGCCATCATCGGAAAAATAAGCTTGGACTTACGACCTTCATTTCTCAGTGTCTTTAGCTTTATTTCGATGCAGAGAAGACGAAGCTTCTCCATGCATCGTGTTGGGCAACCCACCTTCCATTTCTCGATATCGGACTCCGACAAGCAATTCGACATCTGAAACTGGTTTTGAAATCTCTTAGATGGTATTGCAAGAGAAACAATTACACAAATTTTGGCACTTCATGAACAAGTGTATATTGGGTTTCTTTTGATCAAATATAGATAATAAACTCGTGATTAAAGATGCTGAATTTCAAAGTCCAAGCAAGAATTTAAGATGGTTGAGCATGGGAAGGAATATTAAGTTTTATGATTAAGGTAATATCAATTCACCCTCCAAAGAAGACAAAAATGATGAACATACTAACATGTGAAATATTATATAGCGACTTATAGTGTGTTCTCATACCTGATTGAATGGCTCTTCACCTGATGTGCAAGTCACTGAGAAAGTCCGACAACCTGAAAATAGCTCCAAGTTTATAAAAGGCGAAGTTGCACAATAAATGGACAAATATCAAGCATACGCACAAAACAAGACCTAATATCTTTAGCTATAACAGTGAGACCATCTTGATTTCCAATATGACGCAGGACGACCTCTTCCAACTGACCGTCCCGATATGCATGCTGCAATGAGAGAGTCACATCAACATTTGAATCTCATTTTAAAGTTCTAATATACCAGCAGAGAAGAAAGCAGATTAATAGAAGAAATGTGAAAGTAAAGAAGCAAAATACTTGAACCACAGAAAAAATACACACTTTCCAATTGCAAACAGAAAATCTACATATGAGAAACAAGCATCATGTGAGAGTCCACATACGGGAACTTCACAGATAATGGAACATGAAAATAAAACGTTCACTTCAAAATTCAAACATCCTTGATAACAAACCAAAACTGGTAAAAATTACCCTGCACTGCACTTCGCTAAATGCACAAGTACACCATTAGGAACGTATAATCCGGCTTGGGTAATTAGGTATCCAGGGTGAAACGGAACACTGTAAAATCTATGAATGATGATGATGAACCAGTAACGAATATTCCTAATTCCCATATAACACTTGAGAAATCATGGTAAAATCTAAGCATTAGAAAACTGGTCTTCCATAAATAGACTATCGTCATCTTGGTTACTCAGTAGCTACTTTACCCCAGGACAGAAATGACTAATTCACCAATAACATGGCGTTTATGACAATTTTAAAAGGTCAACAAGCTTGACTTTCTGCACATGGAGAAGTGCTAGGTGGCCAAAATGCTAGCATAGAAAAGATTCAAAAGACCCAACGTACATCAGGTTACGACTATCTAGAAAAATTGTAGCTCAAAAACTATAATTCTCCTCATCACTTGAGAAGTTATCAAAATCACAACCCAACTGCATTAGGCAAAATGCCATCTCCAAAGGTGATAAATCTTCCATATCTAAATCTTCAGCACTAAAATCCAAATCCTCTAAGTCTTCGAACATATCAAAAAAGGCATCCATATCCACAATATTAGATCTGCTTGGAGGAGTTCTCCGTGATCGTGGTCTGCGTGGAGGTGGCCTGTGATATTTCCATGTGTATGAACCAGGCTTGACCCAATGCTGGAACACAACAAACATTGTATCAATCAAAAGACTGGAAATCCAATCTGCTCTAATGATATTAAATAACAAATAGAATGTGCATAGATAAGAAGATAATATCCATTTATGAACCACATCTTTGAATATCTACCAAAATAACCGACCGAATATGAACAGCACTGCTTATGTCCCACCTATGACACATTACCAAGAAATAGTAGGATCGTTGAGTTTGAAACTCATATATGTAGGGAAAATACAAAGAAGAATTTGTCACGGCAGTTGCATACGTATTATCTAAATAGATATGTCAGATGATCAGCAAGCATACATCGATTGGTTTTAGAACAGAAGAATGATTTTTCTAATGACATTTCCTTGTTGACAGAATACTTTTTAGATCATGTCCAATCAATCTTGCTATGGTGCTTCCCTAAAACTAACCCCCCATGATGACACGGTTCAAGTCCAACACCTACAAGTATATTACTTCTAATAATTTGAAACAGAAGGATCCATTATCTTCCATTCAAGCAGATCGATCGAATCAGTTGTAACAGTTCTAGCAATACAATCTTGATATCCAAATCCAAAAATTTAATCATGTGTAGTTTGTCAATCAAACCCTAAACATTCCCACACAGAGGCAACAGAGCCAGTCAGCCAAATCAGGATGAGGACAGAAATTTTTATGAGGGACCAACAAAAGTATCCGTAAAGATTTAATCTGACAAAATGTGTAGTTGTCCACGTAAATTTTATAAGTATTTGTAGATTTAGCCATCACCTAGTTTAGTTTTTATAGTTTTTTGCTTTTCAAAAGCAGTTTTGAATTCTTAGCCAAAGTTAAAAAATAAAAATACAAAACCGTTTGTCAAGAATAAATTTTAAAAACTGAAAGCAAAAAATAAAGTTTTCTATATATTTTTTTTTTTAATTTTCACTCTTTAAAACACTTTTGAATTCATACCCACCCCGAAAACATAAAGGATATATTCTTGATATCTACTTTTATTAATTTGCTTGGGATTATCAGAACATTTTTAAAAATAGATTACATTAAACAAAAAAAATGGTTAAAAACCAAGCATAAATTTTTAGAAACAGAAAACTAACAATATATGGATATGGATTGTATGTAGTATACACCCGAGGAATTAATATGTGAAGAAGTTGGTTATGGTAGGAAAAGCAGTGAGAGCAAGAAAGGGACTTCAAACTCTTCCTTTCTTTTAGTACAACAAATGTTAAGCATGAGAATTTGAACCTCCAACATGGGGAAGGGTAGATGTCAATACCATTACTGCTAAGCTATGCTTATGTTGGTATCCTCAAACAATTCCGAATGAAACAAGGATTTCAACGAGAAGATCCCCATGATAAAATGAGGTACCTTTTTTCTTTTCTTTTTTTTGGGACAAGAAAGAGGAACCCTTAATATTAAAATGAAAGACACGAAGAGTTAGTAAAACCAGAAATTTATATATTTCCATCGTATAAGGTAGTCAAGTACTAAGAGTGCCCTAATAGCAACAAAGTTGCACAAGAAAATGGGGAGAAAGTTGACCAACTGATCTGCTAAAAAACAAGTTAAGTATGATTCAACATATCTAATTCTAACCCACCATGATTGGCTACCGGTGGCCAATGGAGTCGCTTACAGACCCATCTGTTGGACTAGATTTCCAAATCCATATTTCGAAAAGAATTGCTTCCATAAGCTCATGTCAAGTCCATGAAGAAGCCAATCATGTAACTAATCATCAACACACTTCCAAGGCATTAAAAAATTAGCTAAACCAGACACGTTAAGATTTCCATCCAACATATAACATCATTAGTAAGAAAAGGAAAAACAAATCAACTTGGACCAAAGCATTAAGAAAACAAAAGGAAGAACAATAAAGCTCAGGAAAATTTCAAGTCCCTTTCAAGGTAAAAAGGCAACTACAACAGTATCCAGGAAAGGGAGACATACACATGCTGAGAAGATCACAATTAGGACAAGAAAACTGAAGAACATGCTTTGAGAGCTAAACTTACCTTGTAAAAACAACTGCTTCCAAAAGGGCAATTCCCATTTCCAAAGTTAAAGTGCTTGCAATCTATTGATCTGCACATTGAAAATAATATAAAGTTGCAGAATCAGAATAGAAAAATTATCTCAATTGCTCACACAATTACTTCAGCAGTTATGAAGTTCCCATAATCTATATAACTTCTTAAGAAGATTTTCTGATCACATTTGATATGTAATAACATCCATAGATAAAAATGAGTTTGAAAAAAGAAAAAAAAGGGAAGCAGAAAACGTAGAAGGAAAAAAATTTACCGCAGCCTTGTCTTGTAGCTATCAACAATCTCTTGCTTTTGTTCCTTAGAAGAATACCAAATGACGCTTGGAATGACAAAGTATGATAACTTCCTACAAATTGGGCAAGCTCTCAATGCATTATTAACATCCATTCCTGAGGTAGATGAACTATTGCGCCAGTTTCTGATACAAGAGATGCAGAATGGATGATCACATTCTGATAGAATCCCAAACTTCCTCTCACCCAATTCAGATTTAGAAAGAACACGCTCCAGGCAGACACTACACTCTATATCTTGGCTATGCTTCAAAGCCTCGATATGTTTTTGCTTTTTCTCACATGCCTTCATGTGCTCCTCCCTTTCATCAGTCCTAAACGGGTGTAAACATTGTTTCCCACATGTGGGACATATGTCCCCATGAATATGAGGGCAATTTTCACCGCGTGGACAAACACCACCACCAGCAATAAAAGAACAAATAGGTATATCTGATGGACCATCAGTCCTTGTCTCCCCATCCCTCCAATCATCAAGATCATCTGGATGATGCTCAGACTGTCCACCCCAAGCAGGTTCATCTTGGGGGGGAAGACAAGATATCTCTGAACCTGCCAGCTCTCCAGTAGACCCAGGCAAAGTAGAAGGTTGGCTTGATAAAAGGGGGCGAGTTACAGAAACAGATTCAGACACAATAGGTTGCTGGGAATTTGAAGAAGCTGATGACTCTGCATGAGAAACTTTAACATGATCATATCTGCATCGACTGCCAAAAGCACATCTTCCCTTTTGATAGAAAGTACAAACCTGTTACAAACGATACATCAGAAAGAAAGAATGATCAGAGTGCCTAACTGACAATTAATTTATATTATATAATATGGCAACGAAGAGGAGTTGAAGTAAAATTTACATTGTTTGATGGATCAGTCCAATCATGCGAAAACTCACAATACTCCCCTTTCAAACATGCTCCATGTGCAAAATACTTGCATAGAACCCTGAATAAACCAGCAAAAGTAAGTTACAACGCTTACGAACAACTCAATTCCAAGACCAACAAATAACAAAGCTTCATAACGTAAAATATATCGCCTATAACAATAGCCCAACCAACCGGCATCCTATGAACTTTAATTTCAAATATTTACAAGCCAACTCCTCCAGACACCAAAAACATATAGCGTATACCTAAAAAATAAACCAGATATCAAAGAACCGTAGTTAAGACCAGATACGTATTCCCGAGAAATCAATTTCCTAACAAGCCCGGAAAAAGAAAATCAAGATGCGCATAATCTGCCATCCAAACATCAATACTCTTCCGAACTTGCTTACCGATTAGATAGAAACTGTAGTTGGACGTATTTTCAGTATTGCCAGGCCAAGAACGATGATATAAACATGAAAGCGTAATAAAAAAAAAAAACAAAAGAACAGTCGTTGAAGAGATGGAAAACTCACCTTCTGGACATGGCGATCGATGGTGAAGGCAAAAAAGGGGGAGGAGACGATTGAGAGAGGACGAAACCCTTCGAATTCTTAGTGGATTAAACAATCAAGAGATGAATTTGAATAAAATATAAGCAGTGGAGGGAGGAAAAATCCACGAAATCAACGCGATTATTCATTCGGAGAAGGAAAGCAGCCCCTCTCGCGCACCTCTGCCTAGGGCTTCTTTTTGGCGGTCTGTATCCAATATAAGCATTGGCCATTCATTTTAGGGATAACTCCACAGATGCCCCTGCGGGAAATTGGGAGATACGGGGCATTCTTGCCATTTACTGAAAGCTGCGGGGTCAAAATCTAATTATTTTGTCTTCGTTCGGACAATTTTGATTTTTGACGTGAAATTTAAAATGTACGTTTTACTTCTAACATCGTGGCATGGCAATCCGTTTGCGTAAGAGTAGGTGACATTTATTTATTTATTTTTTTTTTAAAGGTGACATTTATTTTACATGGTCCCATTTAAGGTATAAAATTTAGATAGATATAATTTATAAGGAAATTAGTGAAAATTGCAAATCAAAATTGCTAGGAGTGAGAGTGCTCTCTTGCTATGGAACACGTGTTCTGACCTCAGCTTCAGATATTTAAGAAGTGTTGAAATAGCAACGATACTTCTCAAAGCTTTCTTATAAAACGTGAAATTATTTCCTCACACATATCTGCAATTTCTATATTATAACCTAATTAAATTTGAATTGACACTAGTACTAACTTAAGTTTTAAAGTGTACATCTTCGAACAATACACATAATATTTTGTGTCTTGATTGACTAAACGTTCATGATGCAACAAAAATAACTCTTTATTTTTTTGAGAAAAATATATATTTGTCTTCAACCAGATAACTCGTGAGATTTTGTTGGCCATTTGTCTTTTTTTTTTAACCTGGGCGTTTTGTTGATTTAAGACAAAGTTATACATATAATATTTATTAAACAATTTTTAGTTAAAGTAGTGTGACATAACAAGTAATAAAGTAAACTAATGGACATGTTATGTCAATATTTTGTAAATAAAAGTAATATAATACCAACGTGAACATATCTCAACTAATTAAAATATTCATATCCGACTAAAATATAGTAGATTTAAATTCCCACTTTTATATATTGTACTAAAAAATATGATAATATTATAAGATGGATTAAATAAGTATAATTGAAAGTTAGAATTGGTAACGTGTCAAAATTTCACTTCCACATTTACGTGTCATATTCTTAAAATTACACAGAACGTATAAACATAATTTAAACCTTCTAAAATTTCAAAACTAAGCCTTGTTTGACAATGATTTGGTCTATAGTTTTATTCTTTTAAAATTCTTAAAAGTTTATAGTATTTTCACGATACCATAAATACATTTTGAATTATTAGATAACTTTTTTGTAAAAAATTAAATATTCGTTTTAAGAAATTGCCCGGACTTCAAAAATACTTTTTTTTTTTCGTTTTACAATAAAACAAATGAATATTAAAGCATATTATCTTTCCATTTATAACTTCAAATATTATATTTATCTAGACTTAGTTTGGCATCTATTTTATTTTTATGTTACAAATTTTCACAGGCACTACTTTTACCTTTATATCTATTTGTATTGTTTTTTACTTTTTAAAAWTTATTTAAATAAGATAAGTCAACGTTCTTTTAATACAATATATGGGTAGAGATCGAGCTCATACCTTATTGGTTAGATATATATGTCAATTATTATTTAGTTTAACTAACGAACCTCGAAAAAACTGCCAAAATAATTTTAAATTGTTGAAAATGGGTTAGATTTCAAATACATCGGTAAGGGAAAAAAAACCAAATAATTGATAAAGTAAACATAATTTTTAAAATTCGAAATCATTAATTAAAAACGGCATAAACTTATAGTTTATATTTTATTATTGAGGTTAAAAATTTTTAAACCGCAGCCGTGCATGCAAGAACATCACTTATAATTTTTATTAATAGAGGGGAAAAAAATAAATTATGAAGAAAGCAAAGAAAAATAGAAAAAGTAATGGATAAGGAGAAAATCTTCAGACAAGATAACCAGAAACCCAAAATCCACGAAAATCAAGCCCTATGGCCACAGCAATCTCCCCCTTGGCGGTCTTCTCCGCCGCCGCCGCATCCTCCACCACAACCGCTCAAAAACCGCCGCAAACTCCGCCACTATCTAGGCTCCATCTACCTACTCTCCAATCTAAGCCCCTACTCCCCGCATTAGCCGCCCACGCCTCCGCCATCGCCGTAGCCGCGATCCTGAGCACTGCTTCGCCGTCACTGGCCGACACCGGCGCCGCTTTCAACGTCTACTACGGCACCGCTGCCAGCGCTGCCAACTACGGCGGCTACGGCGGCAACGCCAGCAAGAAAGACACGGCGGAGTACGTGTACGACGTGCCGGACGGCTGGAAGGAGCGATTGGTATCGAAGGTCGAAAAAGGTACTCCAGAATCGTAATCGAAATTCCCTAATCGATGAGCCCTATTTCATTCAATCGTTCTGGAATCGATTAATCCTTCTTAATGGCGCAGGAACTAATGGAACGGACAGCGAATTTTACAATCCGAAGAAGCGATCGGAGAAAGAATACCTAACTTTCCTGGCCGGAATCCGGCAATTGGCGCCGAAGGACGTGATTCTGAACAACCTAGCGCTATCGGACGTGAATTTGCAGGATCAGATCGCGAGCGCCGATAGTGTCTCGTCGGAGGAGAAGAAGGACGAGAACGGACAAGTTTATTATGTGTACGAGATCGACGGCTCCGGAGCTCACAGTTTGATATCGGTGACTTGTGCGAAGAACAAGCTGTACGCGCATTTCGTTAACGCGCCGACGCCGGAGTGGAACCGGGACCGGGAGTTGCTCCGGCATGTGCACGAGTCGTTCAAGACGATCGGATCGTATTAGGGCTTGTTTGTCGCCGGAAATTTGATCGGAGAGAGCTTCATCGCCGGGTACGAACTACGAATTGATTGTTATGTGCTTTGTTCTTGAATGGTGGAAATCTCGTTTCTCTGCTCTGTTTTCAGAATTTCGTCGCGAATTTCTGTTATCAGGAACTGAAAATTTTATGATCTGGAGGATGATTTAATGCTGTAAATCGATTAAAAGAAGAAAAAAAAATCTGAGCTGATTATCGGATTTAAACCAATTAAATCTAAATTACTCACTCACTGCTCATTTCAATATGGTATTTGCTGTTTTAAAAGTTTCAAGATAAATAGAGTTCTTATTGAATTCTAAGTGTTTGAACTTAGTAGCAGTGTTCACATTTTTCAGTTATATCATTTTGAAATTTATGTCAAGTCATTTAAAGCTAAAACTAAATTTGAAAAAGCACCGAGACATGAGTCATGAGGTATTTTACAAAGTTTTACCCATTCTTTAATATAAAGTATGTTTGAATGTTAAAATTAATTAATTAGATTAGGCATGCTCAATGACATTATTGGTGTGGGTGTAAAAGCTAAAACAAGGTGAAGCCATCGTCGTAAGAAACGTGTCGGCCTTTCCGACAAGGAGGGGCGTTCTCGTCGTACTCCGAGCAACAGCTCCACCGGCACTTCCAGTTGCCGGTTCCGGTGTTCGGTCTATGAGCCTTGTCATTCCACTTGTACACAATCACGCCGGAGCCATCGCTCCACTCCCCGTCGATCCCCTGGTGCGGCGGCGACATCGAAAACAGCCCTCTCTCCCCTGAATGAATTGAATACCACCACCCACGCACAAAAATCTTCGTCATCTCAATCATAATTCTCAAACACCTTTTAGAAGAAGCGCAATAGGACAAGATCTTAAAAAAAATATATAGGAAAAAGAAAAAAAAATAAAGAGGAAATCATAAGTTGAATCAATATACATGAGATGAACCATCGAATCAAAATATTAAAACTCGTAAATTTCAACAAAAGTCTAACTCTATCATTCATTTTTTTCTTTAGAGACCCAAAATCTCAAACGCACCTAATAATGTTTTCCAAATGATCCTTTGAACGAAAGTCTAGAGAGTAAAAAATTGCAACTTTTTTTTTTTTTTTAATTTTCGAGTGTCTAATTAGATGAGATTGGGAAGTGTAAAAACTGATACACCTTATCAAATTACTTTCTATTGGAAATAATTATTTTAGTATGTAAGTTTTCGAAATATTTATTTTGGATAATTAGGCTATTTTTTGTCATTTGATTCACTCCAAACTCACCTTAACCAAGCTACATAAATACACATCGATATCAACGTATTAACGCATAACTTTTTTTTATGAATTTAACAATTAAAGGACGATGACCTAACCATACATTTAGAACAATAATAAATGTTGTACCATATGCATATTAACACTTTGCTAAAAAAAAATAAAGAGGATGTCTCTAAAATAATAATAGATGTATTATCTACTAAGATATATTCGAATTAATATGTTATGTATTTATTATTATTATTATTATTTATATCATTATTTATCAATTGCAACATAAAATAAGGGCAACCTCATGCTAATTTAACTGGTTGTTATAGTTATCACGACTAGTTTGATCCCACCCTACATACGGTTGTAGTTAAAAAAATGGTAAAAATAAACCAAATAATATTTTCCTTTTTTAATTTTTAATATCATGGTCTAAAATGCTTATTTTAAAAATTCAAATCCCTAAAATAGAATATTAGGTTTTAAAAATTCAAAACCTAAAAATGTAGAAAACTCTTCTCAAACGGCGAAAATGAAAAATTCTGGGAGTTGAAGGACGATACGAACCAGTGATGTGGCCATGGAAGGAGCAAGCGGAAGGCGAATTGTCGTGGTCGGAGTATAGCTTGCGGCACCGCAAGCAGCGCTTCGTCGCCGGAGATCGGAAACTAGAGGGATTCGTCGGAGGAGTAATTGAGCAGCTTTTGATTTTTGGACCGTTCGATGCGCCGCAGTGATAGATCTGATAAAACTTTCCGGCAAACGCCATGGAAGAGTTCTATTTTCTTCAGGAGAGGAGAGCGAGAGAGAATCGGAGGTTAGGGATGAGTTGCAGAGAGATCGGGTGGGGCCGTCAACGAGAAGCTTCGAGCTAAGTAAGGCCCATTAAGTTTGTGGCGGCCCATTGTAGAGAATGAACACTGGATTTACGAAAGCACCCATATGTTTGAACAGTTTTACGATAATGCCCTCGATCCTTTTTTTTTTTTTAAGGAAATAAGAAGAAATCAACTTAACATAAAAACAAATTCCGAAAAAACTAAATTTTCCCGCCACGAGGGAGTTTGACAACACTCTTCCCTCGAATAGTTTTCCATCGTTCTTCTGGTTAAATCATGGACCACCTTATTTGCCTCTCGACTGATATGTCTCATTGAAATTATTTCTATATCTTCCATTATCTGCTAAATTTCTTTTAAAAGCCAAATAATTTCAGTTTGATCTTGACAGTGAAGTAGATGAATCGCTTCGAGGGAGTCGGATTCCAAGTGAATTGGTCGACGGTGTTCTTGTCAAATTGCACGCAATCTCTCGCAAATAGCCATCACCTCTAGATAAGTAATATTTCTTTCCGCTCTTATAATTCTACGGCCTGCTCTGATGACTCCTCCCTTCTCGTCTCTTAAAAGCTAGCCAATCCCCCCGGTGTTTGTATCAATTCGTCGTGCTGCATCCGTATTTAACTTCCATGAATTTGACGTGGAAGGTTTCCATCAGGCTCCTGTATTGTCTCCAATTCGTCTTGTCAGGTGCAAGTCCTTGTTTGTTGACTTTTCTTCTAGATTTGTGTTTCGAACTGCACTGTTGATTATGTATCTGTCAATCGTCAATTGAATGTCTCTAGTTTCTGAATGAATACCTTTGAAAATTGATTTGTTCCTCATTTCCCAAATCCTATGATCATGCTTCTTTTACGTTCATCTTCACGAGCCTTATAAATTAGACACTCCCAATACTCTTTTGTGGTCCAATTTGTCTTGTCAATGAAGAAAACATTTGCTTCAATAGGGGTGCAATTTATCCATATATCTTTAATTACCTTACATTCTCATATGATATGTTGAGTAGTCTTTTCTTTTTTCCTGCAAAAAGGACAAAAACAGATCAATAATAATTCCTTTCTTTTTGCCCTCGATCTTATATTTCACATTGCGTTGCTGTTTTATTTTATGTTCGTGAAATATATCTTTCAGATTTTTAAATCTTTAATTTAAAAGAAATTCTTATATTATGGCGTAAATGTTTTATTTTATACCAGTTAAATATATGTTTTAGTTTCGATAATAAATTATGTTAAAATACTAATTTGGTCCATGTACTTTCAACTTTAATTCATTTTTATTTCCGTAATTTCAAAATGTTTGTTTAGGTCAATGTACTTTTAAAATGTGATCAGTGATCATTTTGATCCTGTAATTTTAATTTTTAATCTGATTTTTTTCTGTTACAAATTCAACACGACATTACATCCAATATATTTCTTGAAATATAATCATGACTTTATTTTAAAAAGTTTCCGTTATTTGTAGAATTTGTGCTAAACTTTTGAAAATATGAACCAAAATTCTCACTTTTTTAAAAATATAGGGACTAAAACGAACATTTTGTAAGTATAAAGACTAAAATAAACTAATGTTAAAAGTACTGGACCAAATTGAACATTTTTTTAAACCATCATAGGGTAAATTGAGAGGAAATAGGCTCAAACTCCAATTGTCACCTACCTTAGGGATTAAATTCCTATGTGTTTTACTAGTACCAAATGTTGTAGGGTCATACTACTGTTCCGTGATATTAGTGCAAGCTGGTCCCGATGGTCACTGATATTAAAAAAAAACATTTTTAAAATTTCAAATTATTCTTTCAAACGTATGTTTTTTTTTAATACAATATGTGGGGGTGGGGGATCGAACTCACAACCTTTTGGTTTGAGGCATATACCAATCACCGCTGAGTTATGTTCGCTTTGGTCAAATGTATGTTAATTAATTCTTCTTTCAAACGTTTAAGAAATAAGTATCCATTGAATTTTTATCTGATATATTGTTAACTTCTTTTAATAATTTATACGAATTAAACTCATTAAGTAGATGTCATCAAGGATCATGTTTTTTTTTTTCTGGATAAATCATTAAGTATCATGTTGATTTCCACCAGCCAAAAGCGAGCATAGTTCAACGTCAACGGTAATTGACACATATCTCCAACTAAGAGGTTATATATGTCAATTATTGCTGAGTTATACCACTTTGACTATTAAGTATCATGTGTCATTTCAATATATAATAGCATAACCATAACTCAACTAAAAATTAGGTTTATTTTTTCATTAGTTTTCACCCTTCTTAACCAAGTTTTTGAGAAAACTAAAACAAACTTTTTCATAACTAGATTTGTAAATAAAAAAAATATATTTTTTCAATGTAAATGTAATGGTTATCAGACCCACACTAAATTTATACATGAAACTTTGGTCATCATTACCAAAAACTAGTAAAGTGAAAGCTCCTCTTCCATTTATTTCAAACTGGGCTAAAATGAAAACATTAATTACATAACAAACTATAGAGTTCTAAGTCAAATCACAAAATCTCTTAATATCTAAGGAATTTTAAGAATATATTTAGGACTGATCAACAACATGTTTGTTAGAAAAGCAACAATGAGAGAGGAGAGAAATAAATATTGGTTGAAAATTGCATCCAAAACTTTACAACTAATTCAATATATTTGCAGCTTTGTATCATAACCCAAGAGTTACAGTATAGCCGAAGCCGAAGACGAAACCGAGTTAACCGATCAGCTCAACACATAATATACACATAACACCACGGAACATAACAACGAACATCGATCGCTCTCTTCGATTGCTCGACACATTATTTCGACACACAAACAAGAACGAAGAACGAAAAAAAGGATCATCACTATGTAGATCTCAATGGATGACAACGCCTTCATGTTCGACTTCGGACGCAGGTTCGTTGTCATCTTCAAAGTAGTCGAGGCCTAGGGCGCCATGGCCTCGTCCAAAGGCCTTGATGTGGTCCTTGAGCGAGCGCTTGTGTTTGAAGTCGGAGCCACAGAAGCAATACCAAATCTTCCCACAGTTCTTCTCGTGGGTTCGCCAGTCGCCTTTCACGGCGAAGGCTTTGCTGCATTTTCGGCAGGTGAAGGGCTTGACGCCGTGCTTTCGCTTGTAATGTGTTTGGAGGGTGCGGAAGTCCTTGAGCGGCCTCGACCTCGGGTTATCGATGTTGTGTTTGCAGCCCGGGGCGCAGCAGTAGCACGGCAGCCGCAGCATTGCCGTTGGCTGACTCCCTTTTAGGGACTCTGGTCCCTTTCTGTACTGAGAACCATGCCCCCACATATGCATCTGCATACCAATACAATCAAAATCAACACTAACAAAATAATTCCCTTACAAATTACTACCGATTTAGAGCGTGTTTAGTATAACTTTAGCTCGTGTTTTCACTTGTAAAAAACTACGTTTTACTACTCTCAAAAGTTATTTCAAAGTAATTATTTTGAACATACTTTCTCATTAAAGTATTGTATGACCCAATATCAATAAGATTCATATGAGTATCAAAAAGTTAATTGAGTAGGAGTTTATAACCATGAAGATTTAATTAATTATAAGATGAAAAAGAGGATTATCTTAGAAATGATTGTGAGATTTAGGTCAAAGAAATTGAAGTAATTAGTTAAAGTTTTTATACTGGTCAACAAAAGAAGAAACAAAAACATGCTTTATTGTTCTTTAGTATTCTTTTTTTGAAGAAAAAGAGAACACCTCCTCAAAATGTTGTTTTTAAAAAAATAATATTTAGTTTGACTTCTTTTTTTTATTCCTTTGATATTATACATGGAACTTATGAACCCAGAAACAAAAACTTTATTAAATTTAGAAATATCTTAAAGAAAAAAAAAAGGAGAAGAAAGAAATACATATAATATAACTGGACATATTTAGTTTAACAGTCCCTTTGTTTAGTTTTTCTTTTACAGACAATTTTGAAATCTCACCTAGATTTTCAAACCCACAAAAAAACATCTTTTTTATTTTCTTGAATTTGACTAAGATTTCAAGAAAAAAAAAGTGTTAATATTAATAAACAAAAGAGAAAACCAAAACTGAAAATCATCATCAAATTAACCAAATCAAACACATCACCAATATATATATAATAGTCAAAACATTTTTCTTTGAAGTCCCGAAAGAGGAGAATTGGAAAATTCCATATAAATTCCACCATTTTCAGAAGCTTTTAGTCACCCAAAAAGAAAACCCTTCTCTCCATTACTTCACTTCTCCCTCCTTCTGCCAAAAAACTTTAATATCAAACAGTTCTTTTGCAGAAAGACCACTCGATTTCTCATACGAAAGCAAAAAATAAAAAATATATATATATATACACACAAATAACATTAAATAAACGAAATAAAAAAGGAAAAAGAACTCACAGTCCTTAATATGGCAATAACTCAAATCTTCCCAAAGTACCAAAAGACACAAAGAACATTTCTCGAAAGGTTAAATCAAACCCATCATTCCCAACAAAAATTCAAAACAAACCCGAATATCAAAATGGGGTCATAATTAATCAACGGATTAAACAGATCAGAATCGAGAATTAAGGGTTTTGAAAATAAATTAAAATAAAAATCACCTGAAGATTATTGTATCTATTGAAGGCTTTGGAGCAAAGAGGGCAAGAGAATTGCGTAGGGCCGATGAGGATCTGAGCCGGAGTGGGAATCCAGAACTGACCCTTGCCGGAGCTCTCCAAAGGGTGTCCGGAAAGGTCGGCGTCGTCGGGTTTTCCGGCCGGCTCCGGCGAGAAATGGGATTCCAGATCGGAGCTAGGGCAAGACAGGCTGATTTCGAGGGCGAGGGCAGATTCGTCGTCGAAGCTGCAGCTGGTGGAGGAGGGGTCGGCGGTTTCCGGCGAGAGGGTGTTGAGGAGAGGGAGGGCCTGCGGCGGAGGGGACGGCGGCCGGCAATGGGCGGCGGCGGAATGGGAGTGGTGGGAGAGAGAGAAATTTAAAGAAGGGTTTGATTCGGAATGGAGAGGGATGAAGTTGAAGGAATTGGGAGTGAAGAAATTGGAGTAAGGATCTGTCATGGCGGGGGGCTCTGCAGCAGAGATTTGCCAAACGGAAAAAGGGATTCAAGGGTTTTTTTTTAGGCTTGTACTTTGGCCAGTACAGTAATATATTGATGATAAGAAGTGAGAGAGGAGAGAGATAAGAGAGAGAAAGAGAGATGTGATGTTTTGATGCAATATTTAAGTTTGCTGTCCATACAAATGTTGTAGAGAAGAGATGTGTGTAGCTCTTTCTTTTCCAAAGTACAATAAATGTAGGTGGAAAGATGAAATTTCAACCTCGAACTCACCTGAAAGCACAAGTTGAATCTCAAAATCAATTGGTAATGAGAGAAGTAACTCAGTTATATTATAAACGCTTTTGTTAGTATTAGGTTTGTAAATGAGAATACGAATAAAGTCTCACTTTGATTAGATGACAATTATCTCTATTGACACGAGGCTTCTGGATGAAACCAAAAGCGAAGTTATAAGAGTTATGCTGAAAATGAGCTGGGTACTTGGGTCTTGTTGTCCTTAACAGTTAGGCCTCCTATTTTTATCAAGGTGGGATCTTTAACCGTGTGTATCTTTATCATTTGAGCTATGATCATGTCAGTTTTAGAGATGTAGCTATTTCGAACATAGTTCAGCGAATTAGACGCTTTATCATGTTGTCTCCTTAACAGTTAGATCTTTTTTTTTCGTGAGATTTTTAACAGTATGTATGTTACTTTATCGTCGAACTATGATTATGTCACACTTTAGAGATGTAGCTAATTCAAACATAGTTGAGTGAATTAGATGCTTTATCTTACCTCTTTATCTAATATTTTCTAATCTGGTGTTTAAGGTTATTGCTTTTTGTAAAACTCTATTAGTTGTGACATGCTAATTGTATTGGTTGAGGATTACCTAGCCTTGGCGGTTGATTTTGGGCAAATTAAGTGTGTTTAGTATGGTGGTCTCTAAGTGTTAAACTTATAACAAAAAGGAATAATACGAGTCTACTAGAGAACAAAATATCGAATTAAAAACGGTATATCAAAATTCTAATAAAGTATAGAGTACTACAAATCAGGGATGTATTAGAAATTTTTTTAAAGTACGGAGATTTAATAGACGTAATCCTAGTTTATGGTGTGAGTTCGGATACTGGAGAACGTAGAACTCGAGGATTTAAATGAAGTGTTTAAGAACTACATAAGAGAGGGGTAGGTTTGAATACCGTTGGAAATTCTCGCATTTATCCAATAAACTTTACACGCTCGATAAATCCACGGGACAAACATCGCCAAACCCCCGTGAGATATTCCAAACTCTCACCCCCAAACACCCCCGAAAGAAAATTACTCTCCAAACTCGTAATTTTAACCTGTGAGGCAAAGAAAACAAAGCTAATTCAGACTGAGGAAAAGTAGAGAAATAATTCAACCCTCCTGCAAAGTTGAAGTAAAAATAAAAATAAAAAACGAGAAATTTTTTTCACCGGCTAGGGTAATTATAATTTATAATTAAGCCCCTTCTGTTAAAAAAAATAATAATGTAAAAGAAAAAGAGAGAGAAAAAGCCAAAAGACAACGTCAGAGAGTACATGCTGCTTGTCCCCTGAGAGATGGGGAAAGAGAGAGAGAAAAAAAGAAAAAAAAAAACAAGAGAGAGAGAGAACATTCTTTTTAATTTAAGCATGCATATATATATTTATTTATATATATTATATATATAATTTTATTTTTCTTCTCATCTTTCTCATCAACCAAACAGGGTTTTATTTCAGTTCTCTCGCAAACCCAAATCCCAGCATTTGCTTGGATTGTCGTGTTTAATGTTTCCCATATGAATCATTCTCTCTCTCCTCAGACATTTTTCAATAATATTCCCTCTCCTAGTTTTGGCTTTAAACATGAAAAAGCTCTGAGAACCAAAAAATAAAAAATATATTTTCCATCAAAATTATTGGAAGGAAAAGGAAAAAAGAAATGGCAGAATCCAACAGAGCTAAAGGGCTATAGGGGCTTTTTGAATTGTCAATCAAATCCAATTTGCCAAAATCTTCTTCTCTGAATGATCTTATGAACTTGCCTTTTTTTTTTTTTTTTGGGTTTGTTCATGCAATGATCTTTTCTTCTGGGGATTGCCTTTTTTAAGTTAACGAAGTGACATTGACAAGCTTTCAGACGCATATATAAAAATTATGTTTAGTCTTATCATGATCTCTTGTACGTATATTATGTGCATTTTGTAGCCCATCATTCATTTCTTCCATATTCCCTTTAATTGTCAACCATGGTAATTAAGTCGAGTTTCGATTTAGTTCGTATGGTCGGAGTTGGTGGTTTTAGTTTGATTCGAATAGTTTAAAAGTTTCAACTTAATCTCTATAGTTTAATTAAATTGGGACGATGTGTTTTTCCTTGACCGGTTAGCTATGTTACCTTCGCTTTAGCTAATTAGTTGTCTTGTTGTGTTAGGAATTTGGGTCGAGTAAAAGAATGGAGGAAATAGATAGATTTTTCCAAGTTAGATCAAAGACGGTTTAAGAATTATGAAATTTAATTAATCAAACTGCGTGGACCAAATTGAAATTTAAAAAAAATTAAATTGAAACTAAATTTTAACATACGAACCAATTGTGAAACTCTCGAAAAGATAGGAACAACCAAAAATTGAATTTAAGTAAATTTAATCTAAAATATTAAATTCGAAATATGTTTTTGCAAAAATAAAGTTTAGATTCCACTGATAAGAAATAACACCCTAGACTCCCTGTTTTGCAAAACCATATTTCAATATTTTTAAAAATAGTTTCAAGCAACTAAAGTTATAATTAGCATGCAATTATTCCCAAAATATATATAAAAAGATTTGTAAAAGGAAAAAAAAAAGTTATCCCAATTCAATTATTTCTCAATGGAAAATGAAAAATGGCCGTAGCTTTTTATGAGAAAACAAACAAAAATCCAAACGCTTCGGGAAATAATTAATGTACTCTTTCGTTCAGGGGTTTTGGGTTTGGGAAGGGCATGGATTAATTCACTTTAAACAAAAAATAAACATTTTCACGAAAATAATAATAATAATAATAAATAAGTTTAAATACTATTTTAGTTATTTTACTTTCGAATTTGGTTCATTTATATCATCTACTCTCAAGACATCTTTTGGTCTCTATACCTTTAAAACGTCAAATTTAGTCTTTTGGTACTTGAAAAAAAAGGATCGTTTTGGTCTCTTAATTTTTATTTTTTTATCTTATTTATTTCAATACTAATGGTAATGTGACACTTAGCTCAATAAATTTTTTTATAGTCATAAATTTTTATTAGCAGATTTCCAGTGAGTATAAACTTTGTGTTAAAATTTTATAAATAAGAACTAAATTGGTCCCTCTTTAAAAATGTAAAAAAAAAAGACGTTTTAAAAGTACAAGAACAAAAATAACAAAATTTAAAAATATTGTAAAAAAACTAAAATATGAATCGAAATAAATAAAAATATAAAATATAAAAACAAAAATAGTATTTAATCAAATAAATATTATTAATTGTTTGCGATCAATCATCATATGTAGTCAACATCATACCAGAAAAATAATACAGTATTTTCTATATGGTTTAAAAAATAAATTTCAAGCCCTTTATTTTTTTCCTTTTCTTTATGAAGGTAAACAAAAAATAGGGAGTATTTACAAAAAAAAAAAAGAAGAAGAAGATATTATAAATATGATATTAATTAAAAACCAAATCTAACATGACTGAAAATCTTATAACCAGGCTCTCTCCCACACCCATTAATTTCACATTTAATTTTATTCTGAATGGTCACTCATTATTTAGTTTGTTTTGGTTTTGGTTTTTTATTTTTAAGAAATGTTCTTTTTTTCTCCAGATTCATCATTTTTTTTTGAAGCAAGATTCATCACATTTAATATATAATTGAAAGCTTTAATTACATGGGAGCCTATATCTAATAGCTATTTTGAATTATCAACATCCAATTTCTTATTTGGCAAAAGAAAATTATGCACTAAAAATTGACCGTGCTTTTGCTTCTGTTAAAAATAAAAATTTAATGTCAATATCAATATAGTTCACCGAATAAGGGTGCAAACTTATCTTTACCTTTTTTGTTTTTTAACGAAAATCTTTACCCCATATTTGTTAAAAGTTTGACACCAAAATTATTATAAAAAGTAAGGTAAGAGGTGATAAATCCAAATTCTAGCTAATATGGTAAATGAATTTAATTATTGATAAAATTATAAATTTAGTTCATAAACTTTATGGTACTAGTCCACTTAATCCATTTGCTATGAAATTTGTGATTAATTTATAAACTTCCATTTTTTTATTTTAATAAGCTATTATCAGTAGCATAATTGCGGTAGCCTGTAGATTTAACTAAGTAGAACATCGGCAATAGTTGGCAAAAAGAAAAAAATAATAATAAAATAAAAAGAAATAAATAGTAGGACACGTTGCTAACTAGGAAAAAAATAGGAATTAAGGGTGTGTAGGTAAATTTGCGAAATTTTGTTGACATAATATGCTTATATTTTATCATATTTATCTATTTTTCTAGTGTCACAATCATTAAAATCATAACTCATTAATCCTAATTAACATACCACGTCAATAGAAACAATTTGATATAATTAAAATCAACAATTTATAAATGTGATTAAATTTTTTTAAAGTTCGAACAAAATTATCTAACAAATTTTTAAGTGGTTTTTTAAACGTCCGAATTTTCAAAAGTTTATCAATATCTCTTTATCGGTTGAGCTATATTCGAATCGGATAAACAAATGATTTCGAAGAGAAATGGAATGGGAGTTAGAAAAAAGTTTGAAAAGTTGAGGGCAGAAATGAGAAGAAGGGCACCAAGTCATACCCAAAGGAACCCTCCAAAATGACAGCTATATATTATGGGAGTGAGGGGATATGGAAAAACAATTTGGAAATAATTAATATATTTGATATCCATATATGTGACATTTAAAAAAAAAAAAGAAAAAAGTAATGATATTTTTAAAAATATATATTTATTTTATGACATTTAAAATTTATATCTAATATTCTTTTAAAAAAATTGTATCTAATAATGTCACTAAGAATCCATACGATTTTGGAATAATCTACCTCTAACAGCTATTAGAGGTGTTAGGCCTC